CTGAGAGACGCTGAGGCGGGCTGGGGGGCGGGTGCCCGATAGACCTGCAGACGGGCCAGCATTCCTGGCTCCATCACACGGTCCTGTAAATACCTTTTCTAACATGAAATTAAATTCAAAACGCAGTATTATGCACCAAGGAAAATGCTCGTTTCTAAATTTGGGAGTCTAGCTGAGTCTCATGGCTTCACACCTGAGAGCCCCGTTCTCCAGGTGGGCACATGCCCATGGAGCCATGGGGTGGGCCCCCTGCCCTCCTGGTCAGTTCTTTCCAACCCACTGGACATGTGCCCTTTGGCACTAGGGCCACTGCCCTGGGAGGACCGAAGGCTGGCATCGGCTTTGTCTTCAGTGTCTTGTTCAGAGGGGAGAGTGTTTGTAAAGACCCATCAAGCCAGAGATGGACTAGGAACCTTGGCGTGGGAGGTAGACAGCCAGGTCTCCCACTGAGGAGCAGACTCAGGGCGGGCCCTCAGCTCTGACGTCATGGCAAATGAGAGTGATGAATGATGGGGCACCTCGCTCAAAGGCACCCTGTGGACAAGGGACTCTTAAGAAATCGCAAAGTCAGGGTGGGAGAATCTCCGAAACACAAAGCACCAGGCTGCGTGTGGTTTCCCGCGCTGAGTGGTTGTAACCCGGAGTTCACAGGGGCCTCTGCCAGGGAATAAAGTACATAAATAGATGTTACATAGAAAAATGAGAAGACCATTTGTAATAGGTGGCTAATTGCAGCATTAATTACTCCTTGGTAATTACCGAATGATTGCTGATTCTGTTTCCCTTCATGATATATGATGTCCAAAAAGGCTCATTAAAGAAGAGAATAAACATTCAAGGGCCAGAATGTAAAAGAAAAAAGGGGGCGGTGGAGAGGGAAAGGGAGAAGGGGCCGGTTCGGAGAACGCAGAGGGGAGACTAGGGGAGCGTCTATGGTTACAGCCAAGGCTTCCAGGCCTCGGCAACTTCCTGTTATCCATCAAAAGTACATTTGTTAACTAAAACTTGGTTGAAAACAAGAAAGAGTCTTTCAGAAAGGTTTGAGATTTTAATGGGCTGAGGTTAGGTGATTAAATTGGCATGGAGCTTTGTAGTATACGTTATTAATATTACTTTTGTAATTTCAGCGTCTCTTGCCTTTTGTGCATCTGCAACCCTGGTCTGTGTCGTGACATAGAGTTAGACCTGTGGCCTGGGTTTTGAGTGGATCTTTGTGCTCGTTGTTGAGCATTTCCCGGGAACCTCACGGAGAGCCGTGCATTTCTCCACCCGTCCTCAATGGTTCCCAGCCACAGAGCCGCGGGCAGCCCGTCGGGGCCACCTCCCAGGGGAGGGCCTCAGGGCGGCCAGGTCCGTCCTTTCCAACACAGGGGGAGCCCGAGTCTTCACTGCTGGAGAGCAAAGGTGTTGGAATCAGGTGCGCCTGGATTCGAACTGCTCTGGGACGATCCTGGAATTCTCCGTGTGTTTCCTCCCTGAACAGTGAGCACAGGTTGGGCTGCTGTGCTGCCCAGCGCACAGGGCCGGGCGAATCCCGTAAGACGTCAGTGGGTCCCTGAGCTGCCAGTGGGCCCCGCGACCCCGTGTGCCAGCTCTGGGAACCCTGCGCCCGACAAGACGGGCACCCGTTTTTGGTCCCATTGCAGGGAGCTAGTATTCCGGTGAAAGAACATAGTAAATTAAACACGCAAGTCAGAATCCAGCACCAGAGGGGTCCTCTGAAGAAAGTGAAGGCAGGGCGAAGTGAGAGGGTCCCAGTCTAGACAGCGAACCCTGCAGGACATCACCACGGCCCGGCCGGGAGAAACCGGTGTGCCGGGCAGAGGGCACGGCAGGGGCCAAGGCCTGAGAGCAGGATGAACTGGGCCCGCGAGAGGGAGAGGCAGGCCAGGGGGCTGGGACATGAAAGGAGGGTGGAGGAAGAAAAGGGGGCGAGGTCATCCAGGTGGGGGACGGGCACCCGAGGGAGAGCGTCTTGGTGGTCTCGTAAGAAACCGGGGTTTTGTTCTAACTCTCACTAGAACCCGTGTTAGGATCTTAAGCAGGGAGACAACCTGTGTACACTCTCAGACGGGCCCTCTGGCTGCTGGAAGGAGCCCGGATAATACCAGGGGACCGGTGGGGAGGTGTCTTCTCTGGGAGACTCCGGAGTCCGGGGCGGGCGGGGCAGTGGAGAGGGACGTGGATTTCGATGTGTTACAGCGATCGGGCCGGAAGGACATGCTCGTGGGTGAGCTATGGGCGGGGGAGCGAAGGATGGCCCCCCAGGACAGTGCTCATGTCTCATGTTCTCGGCCTAACCTGGGGGTGGCGCCCTTTGCGGGGACGGGGGAGGGGAGTCAGGAGTTGGCTTCGGCGAGTTCAGTCGGAGAACCTGCTAGTCATCCCGAGGAGGTGTCAGGTACGCCGTTGGCTGTGGGTCTGGAGCTCTGGGGAGAAGCCAGCCTTTTGTAGCTTCTCAGAACGTTGACTGTGACAAGCCCAGTGAGGATGATCTCAGCTGCATCCCTGTCCAAGTGTGTGGTGTTTGTTCCTTTCCACCCCCTCTATGCTAATGCGCTGTCTCTCCCCTCCTCCTCTTTGCATTCATTCCCTTTCTCCTCTTGGTCCTACTTCGGGAAACCCAAATCAGGGATTTTTACCGTTGGCTTTGAGAATTAAGAAAATACAGACGACCAAGAGGAACTCCTCCTAAGAGATGCTGTCTTTACTACCCACTGGGCGCAGGAACCCCAAATAGGGATGGTTCTACACTGAGAACCACTCACCGTGTACCCCAAGGACCCAGAGCTTACCAACACGGCAATACCGCTCTTAGCTGTCCTCCCTGATTGGTGGTCTAAGACCTTGCCTACTAGGAAAAAGATGAAATGTCTTCTTATTCAAACACGGACCGCAGCCGCTGTGCGTGGAGAGGTAACTATGGATGCCCCTTTCACCCAGGGACCGCTTCCGTACGTGTCTTTCCCACCATGCCTCCAGGAGAGGCTGCCTGGCGTCTTGTGAGAACAGGGTCCCAGTGGTCCCCTAACTGTGATGCCTGACCTCTCGGGGAGGGCCGCGGTGTGCACGGGCCCCGCTCGCGGGTGCAGGCGAGACCAGGGGCTCAGAACCTGCTCCTGCAGGGCCCGGTTCCCCTCAGAGGGCCTGGCTCTGCCCCCCCCCCCAGGAGGCTGGGGTGGACAGGAGTGACAACGCATGGTAATTAGCACTGAGCAGCGCTGTCACCAGGAAGGCAGAAGCCACATGGCCCCAACCTGGTTTTGGGTTGGCACACCAAATTCAAACCAGCTGGCCTTTGTTTGGACATGCCCTGGGAGGACCCGGCCTATCTGGACGGCAGAGGGCTGGCATTCCCTCGCCCTGAGCACAGTCGGGCGCCGCGGGGCTCTGGAAGCATGCAGCAGGCTCCAGGACGGAGCTGGCTCCAGGGCACACGGACCCGCTCTGAGCTGTTGGCCGTCGGAGCCAGCACGAGCGTAGGTAGCAGGGTCCTCATGCAATGGGGAGGAAACTCGACTGTGTTGATCCTGTGCCTCCTGCTAACGTCCTTCTGTGACTACCCACCTGCAGGATAAAGCTGAAGCCCTTCCCAAGGCCCTGCGTGCCAGTCCCTGTGCCCACTCCTCTGGTCGTACACCACCCCACGTGTGCCCTCCCGCCCCAGCTCCCCACCTCAGTCACTCTGTGCCAGTTTCCGTTCCCAGAAGGGGCCCAGTCCAACCCTCAGCCTTATTACACTCCTTGCTTTGCTGGACACACCCTTAGCCCCCTTCCTCTAGCCACTGGTCCTCAGCCTTCGGGGTTCAGGGGTGCTGACCCTGGCTTGGGGCTCCCAAGTGCTTGGCTGTCCTGGCTGTGGGCTTTAGGGTGATGTTGATTGTGCTATTCTGCAGTTGTTTTCCTCTGACTTTCCAGGCCCATTTTGTTAATCCCTGCTTCTCCAGGGCTAGGTACCAAGAGAGCCTTCCACAAATGTTTGAATGAAGGGCCCCCTCCTAGGGACGCAGACCTGTGCTCAGTTCATCCCTTCCCTTCTAACATCTCCCAACCCACACGCAGCAAGGCCCATGGGACCCCAGACTGAAGAGGAACATAGCGATGAGCTGAACTCAAGATCAAAAGGGCATCTCCATCCCTGAGACAAGAGTGTGGTTAGAACATTTTCTGTAACGTAGAAACCGTGTCTACCCGGCGTAGTCAAAAGGCAGGTCTGGTAACCCCCGGGGGTCTGAGCTGGCATGTCAGCCTCAAACATGTCAAGGGCAAAATTGTATGAAAGCAAAGGGCACAGATTAAGAGACCATAGTCCTGGGTTCCCCCTCTGTGTTTGCTGCTGGACACCTCTGGGGATGTAGGTGCAACATCTCCTCGGTCTGCCTCGGTCGTCTCATCTTTAAAGTGGGCACGGTTATCCCTGCTTCATCATGCCGTCAAGAATAAATGGCACAAAGCCTCTCAAGTGTTGAGCAAATTCTCTGTCCCTTAGGAAGCACTCAAAAATTAGTTATACCTCTTGTTGTTAGAGCGATAAAAACGGATAGCCTTTTAATGGTGTGGTTTATAGTTTTCCCATAGGAAATAAACTCACTAACATGAAAAACAAAAGGTTTCAAAATGGCATGTAAGAGGGCTCCTGTTTCTGCTGGGTAAGGTCCGTACGTGTAGGTATGGAAAATAGTGGGGAAGACGGTCTCGGTCCACGGTCCGACGCGCAGTCCACTGGGCCACACTGCCGGCAGGGAAGACGTTCTCTATCTAAAGGGTCAGCAGGCTTCCTCGGGGAGGTGGGTTGATGGTTGATCTTAATGTTATTCCTTTGCTTGCTGATATTTTTGAACATGAGCCCATGACTCACGAAGTGGGTGATGGCAGAGGAGAGATGCAGCGTTTAGAAGGGAAAAGAAAAGGAAGGAACTAGCGAGAGGCTGAGGCATGGCCTGTGATGCTGCCTGGTGGCAGGTGTCCCTGCGGTCACTGAGCCGGTTCTCCCTCGGCAGGTTTCTTCACGCAGATCTCCACGCTGGCCGACGTGCAGGAGAACGTCATGGAGTACCTGCACGTCCTGAGCCGGCCCAAAGTCATCGACCAGGAGCACGACGTGGTGTGGACCGAAGCCTACATCGACAGCACCGTGAGTCCACGGGCCCTGGGGGAGCTGAGGGTTCACCCTGCCGTGGGAGAGTGCTCCGGGGTTCGATCCGGAGCACAGCCATCGTCTCATCGTCCTTGGCAGCGCGGTTCTGTGACATTTTCCTGTGCTGTGATTTGTGTTGGTCCCCTCAGCAGAAAGGGTGGTGGAGATGTAACCAGCCTCCTGGAGGGTGTCTGACCCGCACAGAAACGCACTTTTGATCGTGTCTTTAGTTGCTTCTCTGTCTTGTTACGTGTGCACAAACCCTGTCATTGTAGCAGTGATTAGGGGCCTGCTGATTCAGTCCTCGCCACCCGGGAGGCCTGTCCTGGGGACGAACCTGTGGGTCTCAGCTCGGGGAGGTGATGGAGCGCGGCTCTCACCAGGAATCCGAGCCCCCGGAGAGGCCACAGCTGCGTTTTCCTCCCGGAGACACGTGAGAAGATGCTTCACTGGAGGTTATGTAGACCCTGGATTGTTTTCGGATCTCTGGCCAAGGCTCATTCTAAAGCTGAATTCCAAGCAAAAGAGTCTGATGCTGAATTCGTTTGAAAGGAGGAGCTTTGCCAATCACCAAACAATGGTCCGTGGCCTGGTTTCTGGTGTATTTCCAGGGTGATTTTTCACAGTGATAATGAGTCTGATGGGAGTGGCATTTTCGTTCATTGATTGTAAACGTTCTCGCAGGGCCTCTCTCCCGTGGGTCTGTGGGGATCAGCATCACATTGATCACGGGCCGACAGAGCTGCTCCGAGGGCCTGTGCTGCCGTGGCCAGCTCTCTCCGTGAGCTCATTCCGCGCAGCCGCAGGCCAAGGCGGGGCGGGGACAGCGTGTGCGAACCCATCTCGGGGGCATCGCAGCAGCTGCCCCGTCTCCGCCTGAAAGTCACAGTGGGACCGTGGAAGTACAAACGGTCAAAAAGGGGGTCCCTTCCCCAGGAGAATCACCGTGAAGAGAGAAGGGAGTTACGCCGAAAACCCTCTCTGGTCGACAGGGAGACCTCGGGCTTGTACCCCTCTCAGAGTCTGACACCAGTTTGATTTAGAATCATGGAAACGCAATAACTAAGCCTCCTCATTAATGTGGGCGCCATGGTAACAATAACAGTAGCAACAACAGTGATGGTTCCATCTCTCCTCCCTGCGCTGAGTAAGGCAGGAAGGACAGCGTGAAGGAGGGGTGTGGCCAGCCAGGACTGGAGCCATCCAGTCACCCAGGGGTGTGTGCGTAAACCGCAAACAGCCCGTTTGATTCGGCACTGTATTTGTTCCATTTAAAAAATATAAAACAACGTCTCTATAATTAAAACATTATAGCATCAGCACCTGGATAAACAGATGGCTAGAATAGATGCCCCCCCCAAAGACCCATCTACACATAGAAATGTCGTGTATGATAAATGTGGCATCTCAGGTCAGTGGGGCTTCACCCTAAGTGCTTTTGAGAATACTAGATGACCATTTAGGGGAAGAAAGTTCTATTCTTAACAGCATACCCTGAAAAGAATTCCAGGGGGACCAGAGATCTAAACTGTAAAAAGTGAAACCATACAAGCAGTAGAACAACACGTGGGTCACTTCCTCTGTGGCCTGAATTCAGAGAAAGGCTTTCTAACAATGACTCCAAAATCCAGATTCAATAAAAAGAAAGAGAAGTAAGTTTGACTACTTCAAATAGAAACAAAACAAAGACCAACTCTTGTAAGTCAAAAACTATCATAAGCAAAGTCAAAAGGCAAATGGTAAAAATAGGAGAAAATATTTGCAGCATACAGGACACATAAAGAACTAATACTCTGCCCAGCTGGTGTGGCTCAGTGGATGGAGCATCGTCCCGTGGACTGAGAGGTCCCAGTTCGATTCCCAGTCAGGGCACATACCCAGGTTGAGGGCTTGATACCCAGTAAGGGGTGTGCAGGAGGCAGTCAATCAATGCTTCTCTCTCATTGATGTTTCTATCTCTCTCTCCTTACTTCTTTCTCTAAAACATCAATTGAAAATAAATAAATAAATAAAAGCTTAAAAAAGAACTATTAATCTTAATATATAAAGAACTTTTAACAATGAAAGGGAGAATCCCAAAATTCCTACAGAAAAAAATTGAGCAAAAAACATGAGCATAATAAAATTCACAATAATAATAATAAGAAGAAGAAGAATGGCTTTGAAACACATGGAAGATGTACAAGTTCACTCATAATAAGAAAAATGCAAATTAAAGTGTAGTGACATCCATTTCTCACTTCTCAGAGAGGCAAAAGCTGAAGCTTAACTGTACACTGTGTTGACGAGGCTGTGAGAAAGGGCGCCCGTCCGTTGCTATGGGAATCCCCCCTGGACCCAGCAATGCCAGTTATAGAAATTAACCCTAAAGATGAACCTCAGCAATATACAAATATGTTCTGTTCACTGCAGAATTGCTTATAATGGCAAAATACTGAAAGTTGCCAACATACCTACACACAAGAGATAGATGGATAAATGGTGGCACAGCCACACAGTGGACAAGAGATAGATGGATAAATTGCGGCACAGCCACACAGTGGACAAGAGATAGATGGATAAATTGCAGCACAGCCACACAGCGGACAAGAAATAGATGGATAGCCCTGGCCAGTTTGGCTCAGCGGTTAGAGCGTCGGCCTGCAGTCCGGAGAGACCCGGGTTCGGTTCCCGCTAAGGGCACGTACTTCGGTTGCAGTTTGTCCCCGGCCCTGGTTGGTCGTGCGGGTGGCAGCCACTTGATGTGTCCCTTCACGTCGATGTTTCTCTCTCTCTCTCCCTTCCTCTCTCTCCCTCCCACTCTATCTGTACAAAGGGTGGAAAAATATCCTCGGGTGAGGATAAAAACAAAAACAAAAAAAAGAGATAGATGGATAAATGGTGGCACAGCCACACAGCGGATAAGAGATAGATGGATAAATGGTGGCACAGCCACACAGCGGATAAGAGATAGATGGATAAATGGTGGCGCAGCCACACAGCGGATACGAGATAGATGGATAAATGGTGGCACAGCCACACAGTGGACAAGAGATAGATGGATAAATGGTGGCACAGCCACACAGTGGACAAGAGATAGATGGATAAATGGTGGCACAGCCACACAGTGGAGTCTTCATGCTGACAAGAATGGGGTGGTTTCTGTTGGTTGATACAGAATGATTTCTAGGATGTATTGCTAAGCAAAATGAGCAAAATGCAAGAGTATCAATAGGGTGCTACCTTCTGTGTAAGAAAGAAGAGGGAATAAGACGTGTATCTGCCGAGAAACACAGAAAGACAAATCAGAAACCAATAGAATGGTTACCTACAATAAGTGTGAGGGAGTGCAGGGGAAAAGGGGTGGGGGAGGGAGAGCGACACCTCTGAGTCATCTTCTTACATAGTTTTGACTTTCTTTTTAACATTTTTTTTCTTGTATTGATTTTAGAGAGAGAGAAAGGAAGAGGGAGAGAGAGATAGAAACATTGATGAGAGAGAACATTGGTTGGCTACGTCCTGCATGCCCCTCACTGGGGACTGGGCCCACAACCTGGGCATGTGTCCTGACCAGGAATCAAACCGGCGACCTCTTGGTGTATGGGTCAACGCTCAACCACTGAGCCACACTGGCTGGGCATAGTTTTGACTTTTGAAAGCATGTTAATGCTCTATGTTCTCAAAAATTGGGAAAAAAAAATGGGGGGGGGGCGCAAAACTAATAGTGAATGCAAACAGATGCAAATGAATTTAACTGCATTTCAAAGAGAGAGAAAAAGTATCTAGAAAGGGAGGAAAAGAAGTAACCTTTGGAATAAAGTGGTTACACACAGTATTAAGGTTTGAACAGTACTTCGACTACCCTCAGGCTAAGTAGGGGAAAAAGAACTGCAAACAAATGTTAAACTTTGGGTGTCATCTGTAGTAATGTGGGCATAGCAATTCTGAATGCATTTGCGAGTGTGGATGGATGGAGCAGATGTGTAAATAGGAGAAGACAGGCAGACCCCTGGGCGCTGAGCCGCATTGAAGGGGTCAGACCTGAAGCCCAAAGCTGTCCACTGAGAGGCCCTCCAAGCAGTGCCCCTGAGTGGCAGTGACCACATCTAGAAGCCAGACCCCAGCTTCCGAAGACCACGCCCACTAACAGGAAGCAGGGTTCGGGCAGGGAAGGTGCTCTCCATCCCACCCCAAGAAGCCTGGAATATTCTGTTCCAGGAAGCTCTGAGAACAACGAGATTATGCCAAAGGACACTGGAGTCAGCCCTGACAGTCAGCTGTGAGACAGTTTGAGCCTCTAAATAACAAAGGACAGTAATGGATTATATCCTGTTGAATAAAACAGAAATCTACGTGTCCTCACAGATGATAAATAAACAAATCCCAAAGAGACCAGTGAAATCAAGTGGGTGGAAAGAGGCACCATGTACAGTGCAGTGCGGACTGGTACGTGGGGAGGGGGTCGGGGGTTGGGAAATCACCCTCTGCACCCGCTTTCGTAAAGATTGCTTAGGGCAAAGTTCATCGGGGGAGCTAAACCGAAGGGGAAGCTTTGAGCAGAATATTTCCATTGTCTCAAAGAGGTTCTCCAGAGGCTTGTGACGAGTTGTGAGGAGGTAAAATGGTATCCGTACTGTGCATGGACAGAATATTGAGCGGGTCATCAAAAATCTTGAGTGTCACCAATGAGTAGCACATGGACATAGCCTGCTTTCGGAGAAGGACTCATCACACTGAAGAGTGTTCTGGCTGGGGATACGGAACCTGCAGCTCTTGGTTGGTGAGGAAGAAGATAAAGCTTCGTATTAATATGATGTCTTGTTTTAGATCATATTAATCACTTGAATCAGTTGTTTTAGATGTACTGATTACATACATGCATACATATATATGTAAATGTGTGGAGGTCAGGGAAGAGAGAGGGAGAACCCAAGGCTACTCTGGCTTGTCCACTAAGACTCTTGATTCAGAGCAGAGGACCTGGTCTGGGAGCCGCTCTAGATGAGCAGTAGCCGTGG